ATAATAATAATAATAATAATAATAATAATAATAATAATAATAATAATGTGTTACATTATGTATAATTTCATTTCCACTAGTAAGTGTGTACTTGTGTTGGTCTCTCAAAGAACATTACAATGAAATTGTTTTTGGTTGTAATGTGACAAAATATACAATGACTCAAAGCGTATTAATTTTTTTCAGAGGCATAACGTAATATTTAGATTTTACAACTCTGACCTGGTGTAAAATCTGATGTCTTCTGGTGACGTAGAAAAACGTTCCAGTCCAAACGGCTTTTGAAGACTACAGGATCGGAGCTGCTCTTTCAGTTGCTCAATTTCTCTCAGCATGCTGTGATATTGCTCCCGGTCAACACACACGGTTCTGCTGGCGCCGTAGTCATGGTCCACGACCATAGGTACCATGACGGGTGGTTCATTGTCCTCAATTGGATCCGCCGAATCAGGTTCTGGATTAGATGGTCGACAACGGCGCTCCCAAACACCTGCTCGTGTCTTCCTGCTGTATTTGTTCCACTCAAATAATGATGGAACCGACCCAGCTGCTAAAATTCGTCTTCCCTTTTCTGTAGTAATTACTTCATTCTCCAGGAAATGTCGGCTACATACCTTGGTGTGAGGAGTTATCGTAAATCCCTCTCTTCTGATTTTTTGCAGCCAGCACAAACGAAGGCTTGTCTCCTTAGGGAAACGGTGAAAGCTCAAACGGCTATTATAGCGACCTGAAGACGAGCAAAGCGGCACACAACAGTGCTCCTTAGACCCAAACACCGTCGGCTGAAATCTAAAGCTGCCACGCACGTTATATTTTTGTTTATTTGACGCAGCAACACTCATTTTAGTTGTTTATCTCTGGGATGACAGGATACAGGAATTAAACCGGAAACTGGAATGCCGACATCCGGTCAAAGCGGAAGTGATTCAGGACGCATGTGCACAGAGCCTATTTGATGAGCAATGATTTTTCCAGCATGAAAATGTCACAAGGTTAAAACAATAACCAAGTGCCTCGGTAAACAAAACGTTCAAATTTTGGGTCCATGGCCAGGAAACACCCCAGATCTCAGGCGGACAAAAAAAAATCCAGAAGCTCTGATCAACTCCAAGCATTTATTAGGCAAGAATGGGTTGCCATCACTCAAGATGTTACCCAGAAGCTAATTTCCATCATGCCGAAGCAAACTGCAGAAGTCTTAAAGAAGAAGTGACAACACTGTAAATGTTGCCTTTGCTTAAACTGGATGTATTTGTCAATATTTATTTTTTTTTAAAGTTAAAAAATACTTTAATTGTTCTTTATTATAGCATATAAATATCTGACAAAAGGTTCTAATAAATAAAAAACTAAGGCTGCAAACTTTGTGAAAACCAAAATTAGTGCCATTCCTAAAACTTTTTGCCATATATATATATATATATATATATATATATATATATAAATAAAACAATTTAAAACACAAACACTGCAGGATAATTTTGAAGCTAAATCTATTGTTATAAACAATATAAAAATAAATGAAGTACGTCATCGTCAATTTCATCGAGCTCTTTTTTTTTTTCATAAAGTTGACAAATTATGTCAGGACAAAGATGACATCTCACATTCCATGCACACATTATGTTTAATGTAGGAGGAGATGAATAAACCGACTGTCACTCCTCTAACCCATGTAGATGTTACAGCTAAAAAAAAAAAGAGGCTGATTTTTCAAAGGGGAAAAAATTGGCCAAATGTGTTAAAGAACTTCCCTGTTTGTACTTCAGAGTCTAAAGATATTTGTATTCTGTCTTCTTAAGTCATACACATGATGTAAATTTAGCAAAACAAAAGGAAGAAGCATCTTTACCACATCTGATAACTCTTGTGAGGTTTAGGCCACAGACAAAAAGCTTGTAGTAAAAAAGGCCTACTACAAATAGTGTCCAAGATGGATGTTGTTGTTGTTCTTTCGGCTGCTCCCTTGTGCAGGGGTTGCCAAAGCAAGTGAACTAGAGGAACAGAAGATTTGGGAATTACACCAGATGTCCTTCCTGGTTTTTTTTTTAAGCCCTTTTATGTTGTCCCATTGCAAATAAAACAAACATAAGAATATTCAAACAGTTACAAATCTACCAACTTTTTGGGAGGAGTAGAGGCTTATCTGACAGAAATTAAGGTGTGGCAACTTTTTTTATTATGTCTACTCATTACATACATATTGCAATTGATATCTATGAGCTTTAATAAAAACAGCACATTCCAAAACAAATAAAGCATAGGTTAGTACTAAAGTCCGACCGATATATTGGTAGGGCCAATAATTTGGGCCGATAGACGGTTATGGAGCTATCGATGTATGTGATAATTGTCCCATTATGAGCCGATATAAACACTTCTAATTTATGCTCCTAAAACGCTGGGATCAGCTGTAATTGTACAATGTATATTCAGCAGAGGGTGCATGAAGACTACTTTCAAGTCATGGCAGTTCACTTAAGTTTCACTTTCACATTCAGAACTGATGAAGCAGGGAACAATACAGAGCATGGTCAGTTTATTTTAACTGATCTGTAAAATAAAGCAATAATTAAATTCTCTTCAGACCTCCAGCCTGCTTGTCCATTAGCTATGTGCCTCTCAAGTTAGCAAGCTAACATTTAGATAGCCTAGCAGGCTATTGCCTTGTAAAACTTTATCCAGAACCATATGTGACTGACTGATTAAAAAATGAACAGGGTGTTTCTTTGTTAAATTAATATTTTTTGTAAAACACTTGATAACTTTATGGTGAATAGTGGAGGACAGAAAATGTGAACGCATGTTATGAAGACTTTTTATGACCAATGAACTACTTGTAAATCTAGTGTGGGACTAGGTATAGCATGGATATGATTAGCTTAGCTTCATGGTTGCTAACAGCTGCACTAAATTAACAAGACTTGCTCCACTTGCTGTTTTCTTAAAGTCTTGGGGGTGGATAAAGCTAAAAAATTTCAGCATTAAATCGGTTATCGTGGTTCACCTCTCAATATCGGCATCGGCGGTAGCCACATTTTCCATATCTGTCAGGCTCTAATTGATACACCCGCATTGATTAAAGCAGGGGGAGAAAAAAAAAAACTTATGACTAAATTATTTCCTATACAACCCAGTGAACCCACCCTGCTCTGCTCTGATTGGGTCAAACTGTGACTCTGGTTTTCTATATTGGTTGAAAGCAGCATCAGTTTATGTCCAATAGTTATTTGGGGTTTTAATAAATACAGGCCTAGCATTCCTTGAAGGAATGCACATCACCTGCCGCCTTATGAATCCTTGCTAGATGTGTTAGCACTCAAAGAATGTGTTGTGAATGACTCGGCTACAGCCGCACAATGAGGTAAAAATCAGTAAAACTGGCTCAAATATATGGAGGCGATCTGGAACTGAGCTGACTTCCAATGTTAATGAGTTGTTGTACATTCAACAATTATTTTCCGAGTTTCACTAAACCAGGTCCTGTGTTACACGAGATGTTTTGCTAACAGACAAGACATTCCTCTGATGCTAAACACTAGATTCAAGAGTATTTTGTTCATCCCCAGCTGTCTCCATGTTTCGACTGAACTGACAGGTGCAAATAAATTGCTGACATATTTACCTCTTCAGCTTGCTCCGTTTGACTCTGAGAATACAGCCATCGAGGTGATTCTGGAAGAGTTCTTCAGGAAAATAAAAACACATTTTTATGAACGCTAGGTGAGAAAAGAGTTGGTTAAATAAATTTTAGGTCAGGAAAGAAAAAAATACAACTGGTGGATTTTGGTTAAATGGAGTTGTCATGACTCTTTTAAATTCAATAAAATATGAAAGTAATTACTTCCTCTATCAGCACATACACTGTAGCCCTGTTGTCATCTGTTAATATACAGCAAATAGTCATGCCAATGTTATAAGTTAGGTGTTGTGAGAGCTTTACAACCATGATGTTTGTGATAACAGACAAATGCGTACAAGTCAGGAAAAATGTTCTCCTTGGTAATTCTGCAAGATGATTTAAAAACAAGATTAATCTAAAGCTGAAAAATCAAAGCATCCAAGTGTTTTACCTTACAGTTTACAACCTTATAGTTGAAGGATTAACCACTTTAACTCATTCTGACCTGAAAATGTGATGAAATTACATTTCAAACATGTTCATAGTTTTTTAATATCTAAGATCAAATTCTTTTTTTTTTAACACTTTTCATACCAAGTCTATATAATGACCCACTGAAAGGTGCAAGATGAGTGATAGTTTTACCTATGTGTGTGTGTGTTAGCAAATTATGCCATGAACCACTGGACAGACTAATGAAACAGTCAGGAATTAATCACTGGATGTATCTCTATAACGGAGGAACTTTTCAAGCCTTTTCAACTTGTTATTTGAAAGGGTTAAATTACATTTTTCAAGTTATATTTTACAGCAAAAGTTATTTTCTTGAATTTGACCAACAGTTAAATGAGGTGAAATATCAAACAAGCATTTACTAAATTTCTTTTGCTTTTTTCAATAATTCTTTGAGTCTTTATGGAGTCTTCATATTTCTTTTTTATATTTCTTGAAATTATCAGGATATTTGAACTCACACAGACAGTAGAAAAATCAGGACTCCAGAAGAGTTGGCCACTGTGGCCAGAGTCCTCCATGGCCGGATGAAGTATCCTAAAGCTCCAAACACGACAATGCCAACCGCAAAAATGATGCTGGTGAGCGTTCCTGAAGAGAAGGATTTGAAACTGTATTGAACTAAAAATAATTGATGAGGCAGCTTCTTTTTCAAAAGCTAAAACAGGAACAAATAGATTTGTTAACAAAAATTCTTATATGAAATTGTCATTTTCATACCAGTCATGGCCCAGTAGGACTTTCCCACATACTCCTGAGTGAGGACAAAGCAGACGAGGCCAATGCCACCGTTCATCAGCCCCACCAGGAAACGAGATGTAGCAAAAACCTCGTAGCTGGGCGCCAAGGCTGTCACATAACCAAAGATCACCTCTAAAAACAAACCTGGGAGGACAAGAATGAGAAGAGACAAGAAGATAATTGCTATTTTAACTTCTATTCATGTAAAATGAAAATTTTAACTTCACAGCTCAGGCTTGAAATCAGTAGAAAGTAGTCAGTCTCCAAAAGTAATCATTAGTTTAACTTGGAATAAAACCACAACCTGGCAGCAACACATGAGGAATCTGCATTCGGTTTAAGCCCCATTTCTTTTATTATTTTAATCTGGGAGATGTTCACTGTAATCCGTTTCAGCTCTCTTTAGCATTTAGAAACAAAAATAAATGAATAAATACCCAAATCAGCCCACATGATGCGTTGTTTCCTTTTCTCACTATTGTACTTATGTCAAAATTTTCATTTGGTTACTACTCCTGCAGCTTTGGAAAAACTTACTTTTGAAAATAAAAGGATCAAAATGCAGTTTAATCAGGATAAGTGATCTATTTTGTTAGCAGTACATCAATGTAGAAAAAAAAACTAATAAATGAAAAAAGGCCCCACGAACAACGAGGGGATTTTGTTGTAGCAAGTGAAACTCTGGCTCTTTGGGACCTCTACAGCTCAGATATCTATCAAAGTACAAACATCATCCAAAGTCTAAACAGGTCACAGAAAATTGGACTTTACATGACTGAACTGGTATTTTGAAATCGTTAACCATATTTACACATTCTCAGTTTATGGTTTAACCGTTTTAGACTGTTTATAATAAGGATGTCACATGCTTTGCACTTGTGAGCTGCCGAAATTTATAAAAGAACTTTAAAAATAAGACTTTTGTTTTTCCACAAGAGCTGAACCGTAACCCTTCCAACTTTTTTTTTTTTTTCCCCAGAAAAAGCTAGCAGATCAGGAGGACTGAGACCCATACGGGCCACACTCCAACTCTTCTGCCTAAGGGAGGTAAAAGCTTGGCAACACTGCAGTTAAACAGAAAACAGAGCAACAGCAGAACTGAGATGTTTAATCATGAACAAAATGACTAACTTTTTTTTATTTTTTTTTTTAGAATGCCACACCTAATTTGGAATAATCATTTTCAGGAGTACACACGTTTTGCTGCAATACCAATGCATACACAGTACAGTGTTGAAAGAAGAGAATGAATAAATGACAGAACAACAAAAAGAGTGGGTCATAAATAGTGTTTACAAACTGAAAAGTTCTATTTCGTATAGGCTTCGCCCTTTAAGGCTGTCGCTGGTGGGTTTTACCCCGTCATGCAAAGCATCGCACTGAAAAAGTTTAGTCCACGCCCACCTGTTGTGTGGGCCCCACCCGGTCCGTATAAATTACGTTAAGAGCGGGTAATCGGCTCCCATTTTTCTTCAGCGAGCTAATAGCACTGTCAGAAGAACGAAGAAGGGAAGTTGTCCAGCTTGACCAGCACAACCTTTGTTAAGGCTGCCTGGGGTCCCGCCACGCCAACCTCCTGCCGTCCCGGTGAGTTCTCCTCCCCGAGGAGAAGCAGACGAGCAGTCTTGTTTCAAGGTAAGCACCAAGGAACATTTCTCAGTGGCGGGTCACTACACGCTGAACCACGCCATCGACCTTTTTTACTTTTATCGCCGACTCTCGGAGCGAATCGTATGGTTCCTCCGGGACAGGCGACGTCAGCAGCAGCCCCCCGCTGCTCACTCCCTCCTGGAGAGCGTAGTGTCGGAACGAGGGGGGCTGAGCGAATGCTCACTCCCCCGGACCTTTTTCGCATTGCGACCACGTCGCTCCCAGCCGTCAGTGTCCTCCTCTGGAGCTGCCCAGCATAATCCAGGAGGCAGCTGACATGAAGGGACTTTTTTCCGTCCCTCTCCTTCCCCAGGTCAGACGATCTAGCGGGAAGGTTTTTTGGCTCCACCCCGGCTCGCCGTCCTGATCCCATCTGGCCTTGTTTTCCCAGCAGTGACGTCCTACTGGAACGAGGCTGCAGCCGGGCCTGGTAGACTGAGAGCGTCGGTTTCCACATTCACGCCCATCACCAGAGTGGAGGGGTTTTACCGAGCGGAAAGTGAAGGTGGTCCGCAGAATGAGTCCAGTGGGATAACTCGCTCTCAGCCTGAGCTGCACGCTTTTCACCGCAGCGGTGTCAAACGCGTGCTCCCGCGACGCCAGAAACCTTCACCCAAACGGCACTGCATTGATGAAGGCGCGCACACCCCTCCCCAGCACACGCCGGCTCGCATCAGCATGAATGTGAGACCGCAGAACGAGTCCAGTGGGAAACCTCGCTCTCAGCAGGAGCTGCACGCTTCTCACCGAAGCGGTGTCAAACGTGCACTCCCGCGGCGCCAGCAGCTTTCACCCAAACAATGCCGCGTTGATGAAGGCGCGCACACCTCTCCTCAACACACGCCGGTTCACATTGACATGAATGTGAACCCGCAGCCTGAGCGCGGCACAGAAGCGCGCTCAGAGCCCTTTCGAGAAATCCTCGCCTAGGGTCACGCTAGAGCTGGACAATAATTCGATATTGATATATCTCGCGATATACATTTATTCAATAACGATGATATGAGTTTTAAGCACATTTTCGATATTTCGATAGGATTACAGCGTTTCACTGACGCATTTCTTTTTCCGTTCGGGTTGAAGCGGCCACTTCAGTTTCAACCCGGACAGAAAAAGGTGCGACACAACTACGTAAGTGCGTGGTGACGTAATGTTACGCAGAGCTCGAGTCCAGAAGGCTAAGCTAGGCTAATCTCCAATGCACTTTGTTTTTTCTTCAAATGAGTGCCCATGACCGTCAGAATGTGACTGAACAAGCTTTCACAAGCGAAGAGAAAGCAGATGACATCACTGATGAGAGGAAAGACTAATTCGCTGGTTTGGAAGCGGTTCGGCTTTCTAGGATCCAATAAACTGCAGGTTTCAGTCAGTGTGCTGCAAAATGTGACGGAAAGTCGTTCTAACTCGCGGTGGGAACATCGAACTTGTTCCACTTGACAGAAGATGATGAGTCACAAGATGAAGCACAATAAAAGTTTGAGCCAACGTGTCCCTGAAACAGCCCCAGTGCTGCGTGTTTGGTTTGTTTGTTTTGATCATTTATTCATTCATTTAAAATAAAACAAATTCATCAGAAAGAAAAAAAAACATTGAATGAAAAGGTTGCAGAAAGATGGAAAAAAAAATATGATCTGTCCCTTATTTAAAAAATACAAAATATTACAAACAAACAACAACCTTGACTTGAACAATCTCCAAACTGAAAACAAAAAAACTTCAGGTATCCTTCACCTGGTACTAAACCTTCCCAACAACTTTAACTATCATCTTTTTAAACATATAAATTGTTTTAGAAATGTTTATGGTGATAAAGACAATTCCATAATCCTGTTCCCTGAATTACAACATAGCTCCTTCACACTAGTTCTAAATGGAGGTTTTACAAACATTTCCATTCTATTAAGGTTATATTGTCTCTCCTTTTTTTTTTAATTGAATATTTGAGGTAATATTTTTATGAGCTTTATACACGACTTGTAAAATACTATATTCAACCAAATCATAACATTTTAATAATTTCAGTTGATGAAATAATATATTTGTTGGGTGACCATAGCACTTCATACTACTAATAATTCTTATAGCTCTTTTTTGTTAAATGAAAATAGGGTTTGTAATTGTTTTACATGCCTTTCCCCAAACTTCATTACAATAGATTAAATACGGAACAATCATTACATTCTACAATATTTACAAAGCTTTGTCATTCAAAAACTATTTTACTTTATACACTAATGCAATTGATTGTTATTTTTGTTTTTAAGTAATTTTCATGAGATTTCCATGTCAGCTTCTCATCAGTAACGACGCCCAAAATGTTGTTTCATTAACTCTATGAATTTTAATACTGTCAATTTTAAAGTTGTTGTTTAAAGTTAAAACTATTAATATTGACAAAGTTGAGAATTTTATGTTTATTTGACAGTGATTTCAATTTTTTTGAAAGCTAAATACAAATAAATGGTGAACATTAATTTATTTGTATAGTTTGTAGTTTTTCTGAGGCTTTTATATTGTTTATATCGATATCGAATTATATTGTTATCAACCGAAATTAAGAAATATATCATGATAAAAGTTTTGGCCATATCGTCCAGCCCTATGATACAGGCAGAATTAAAAAAAAAATACAAACTTGGTTTCGACTCAATAAGTTATCAATAAATTGGAAAAAAAACAAACATCATGACATTTAGTAATAGAAATAAAAGTATTGAAGTCCCATTTAAAATGGACAGTATTGAAACTCAGAGTTAATGAAACTAAATTTTTAGGTATTATTGATGAGAAGCTGACATTGAACACTCATGTAAATTACTTAAGAATAAAAATAGCTAAATCAATTGCATTACTGTATAAAGTAAAATAGTTTTTGAATGACAAAGCTTTGTAAATATTGTAGAATGTAATGATTGTTCCATATTTAATCTATTGTATTGAAGTTTGGAGAAAAGCATGTAAAACAATTACAAACCCCATTTTCATTTTACAAAAAAAGAGCTATAAGAATTATTAGTATGAAGTGCTATGGTCACTCAACAAATATATTATTTCATCAACTGAAATTATTAAAATGTTATGATTTGGTTGAATATAGTATTTTACAAGTCATGTATAAAGTTCATAAAAAATGTTACCCCCAAATAATCAGTTAAAATTTGTTAAAAAAGAGTCATTATAACCTTAAGGGAATGGAAATGTTTGTAAAACCTTCATTTAGAACTGGTCTGAAGGAGCTGCGTTGTCATTCAGGGAACAGGATTGTGGAATTGTCTCGATATCACCATAAAAATTTCTAAAACAATTTATACGTTTAAAAAGATGATTAAGTTAAAATTGTTAGCAAAGTATGATACCATGTGAAGAATGCCTGATGTTTTTGTTTTCACTTTGATTGTTCAAGCCCGAGTTGTTGTTTGTAGTTGTTTTATATATTTTTTTAAATAAAGGGGCAGATATAAGAATTTTCTTCTTCTTTCTGCACCCTTTTCATTCAGTGTTTTTTTCTTTTTGATGAATTTGTTTTGTTTCTTTTAAATGAATGAATAAATGAATAAATAAATACAAAATAATAAAAAAGAAGTGTGTTACATCATTACACCCTCAGTTGATTGTGTCCATTTTTGTTTATGCAGTGTTTCCCCACACAGCTACTTCTGGATGGGGAGCGGCGATTGTAGCAGCCCCCACCCCCACACACACTCCAGCTGCCAGGAAAAAGAAAAGAGGAAGTTCAAAGATTAGATATATGGATGCAGTTAGAGAGGACGTGGAGGTAGCTGGAGTGAGGACAGAGGATGCAGAGGACAGAGTGAGATGGAGGAGGATGACTCACTGTGGAGACTCCTGAAGAGGGGAAAGCTGAAAGAAGAAGAAACACTTCACCAAGCAGTGTTGAGAACATTCAACAGGGCAGAGTCCACATGCAGAAGATTTTTCACTAATTTCTACCTGGATGTAGGAAAATCAGTCTACATTTAATTTCAATAAAAACAAAATTTTAATAAAATAGGGTCCAAATTAGCTTTTTTCCACTCACCTGTCAGGTAAACGGGTCTTCTACCAATCTTGTCTGACAGAGGTCCAAAAACAACATTCCCGACCAGGAGCCCAGTGAAAAAGAGTGATCCTGCGAGACCGACTTTATAGGCCTGTTGCTTGATAAGAAGCCACTATGGACAACAAAAAAGTGACAAGCTGTTAGTTTGTGTTTCAGCTGCTGACGTCAGGTTTTATTTGAAGTCCAAACAGACTGATGTGAGAAAGCGTGGCTCACTGACCTCCGTCACTATAGATTCTGCATCTTCTGTAAAGGTGACGTGTTGCTGCAGCTCCTGCTGACTGGATGAGACTCCGTTGTGCTGCTCAATCCGATGCTCTGGAGTATATCCAACCAACACAATCAACATGGACTGGCAGGCCATATACACCTGAAAGACACACCAAACACACACCAAGCTCATTTAACAGCTTCAGCATGGCCACACAAGCACCACGAGTGTAAAACAGAACATACACATGCTTGTTTTAAAAGTTTACAGCTGAAATCTGTTGCTTAAAGTCAAAGAAATTACATATTTTAAACAGAAAAT